TGCACAGCCATGTGAAGAAAGCTTTCAGTCCTCAGGAGCTTGTGCTTTCTGTAACCATCTCAGGCTTCAGCTCACTGACCCTTTAAACCAGAGAGCAGAAATGGAAGCCAGCAGGAGTTGAACATCTGCTCTTTCTCCAAGCTTGAAAACAAAAAATTAGTTGGCTCACTTTTATCATCATTTTCAAGTTTTACCTCATTTGTTACTGAAGCTTCTTTGGCATCACATTTAGAGAGTTTTACTTTATTTTCATATTTTTTATTCATAATTTTTCCTTCTTTCTGCCTTCTGGATGTACTTTTTAAAAAACATTTTTCTTGGGGCGCCTGGGTGGCTCAGTCAGTTGAGCGTCCGACTTCAGCTCAGGTCACGATCTCACGGTCCGTGAGTTTGAGCCCCGCGTTGGGCTCTGGGCTGATGGCTTAGAGCCTGGAGCCTGCTTCCGATTCTGTGTCTCCCTCTGCCTCTGCCTCTCCCCCGTTCATGCTCTCTCTCTGTCTCAAAAATAAATAAATGTTAAAAAAAATTAAAAAAAAACATTTTTCTTGAAATGTAGCATTCTTCAAATATCATATGAACATCTCAAATGAATACTTCATATATTTGCATCATTTCTGCATTTTTCAGTTTTTTAATAAAGCAATTGTTTATTTGAAAAAAGAGCACTTTTCAGCATTAAAGAATGTAAAGGAAACACTTGTCCCAAAGAACAAGTCATGTCAACCCAACCTTCTTTCTTTGAGAGAGCTCTTAGGCTGATAAATTGCAGGAGTGCAGTAGACAGAGCATGAGTATCTGAAGTGAATTTGACCCTATTCTCAAAATATTTTTGTGGAAAAACACAGCAGTAGGATCCAAGTGCATAAACAATTGAAGAGATGAGCAGTTAGATAACCACCACAAATTCTGATGAGCAATAAATGCCAGCCCGGAAGATGGATTCTGGTACATGTCATAGAGCTCTATCAGTGCCATTTTCTAGGTTATCACTTATACTAACGATCTGGATAAAAATATAGAAAAAAATATTTTCAAAAACTTGCATATGGTGAAGCATATGAGAACAAGCAATAGCAATCAGATCAAAGAAGATGGAAGTCAACAGTGGAAGTCAGTATATGACTCTGTACTTGGATTCCAGAAATACAACCACATTTATGTATGTAGGAGCAGGCAGGTATTTTTTTGTGGGGGTAAGGTTGATGGCACATTCATCATGATGACTGAAAAACTGGGATATTTGCTATGTTTAACAGAAGCCCAATATAACTAAGGAAAATAGAATATAGTGACAATCTAGATAATCATATACTGACAAGACCACATGCAGACTCTTCATATTCTAGTCCCTTCTCATTAAGAGGGACAAACTGGAGGATGTCCTAGGATGAGTACCAGTATTGGTTCAAAGGACTTGAACTCTTATCATTCAATTGTTAAGGAATTGTTGAGGAAGGAGAATGTTAGTGGATGTGAGAACTATCTTTCAGTATCCAGACATCTCTGCTACACAAGCCAAGGGCAGACTTTCTGTGGTCTGAGGAACAGACTCAAGACCACTAGGGAATCATACTTGAGTTTAATCAAAGTGACAGTCTCTAGCATTCAGAGGTATGCTTAGAGAAAATAGACTCTGCTGTAGACATTACCATTTCTTCCTTCACTTAAGTTAGGTATGGCCGCATGACTGCTTCTAATCAATGAAACTTGAGTCAAGCAAGTGTAGTTTCTGATACAAAGCATTTAATTACCAGTGCCCAACTCCAGCATTCTCTTCTCCTGCCTCAGTGAACACTGAAGCCTTGTGTTAAAATGGAGGTACCAGCCTTGGTCTCTGAGTGACTACAGTGGTTATAGTATCCCCCAACCACCACTACTACCCCACCTCACTGTCATGCACCTACATTGGACATGTTGGTTTGAATGGGAAATATACCTTTACTGTTTTTTGCCCCTGCAATTCATGGGTTTTATATCTCTGCATAACCCTGATGCAATATTGTGATCCCTTATAAGAAATATATTTTTGGTCTTTCAGATGACCAAAATATATTTCTCATATGTATTTGGTCTTTCTTCATGGTTTCTGGTTCACATTTTCCCAAACCTTAGGAATTTTCTAAGTGTCAATGGTGATAAAGGTGTCTTTTGTTACGTTAATGAAGGTGACTTTGGGACCCCACCCAAGGAGGATGCTAGTTGCCAGGAGGATTAATTTTGGATTAGAGGGTTGGAACTTCTAGTCCCACAGTCCCACCCCACCCCAACCTACTGGACCTCTGGAGAGAGGGGAGGGGCTGGAGGTTGAATCAGCCAATGGCCAGTGACTTAGTCAATAATGACTATGCAGTGAAGCTTTCCATAAAAACCCAGAAGGACTGGGTTCAGAGACCTCTGGGTAGGTGACCACATGGAGTTTGGGGAGAGTAGAACTTCTGGAGAAGGCATGAAGGTTCTGCGCCCCTCCCCACATACTTCGCCCTATGCATCTCTTGTATCGGGCTGTTCCTGGGTTATATCTTTTCACAACAAACTGGTGATTTAGTAACCTGTTTCTCTGAGTTCTGTGAGCTGCTCTAGCAAATTAATTGAACCTAAGGAGGAGGTCATTGGAATCTCCAAAATGTAGCTGGTAAGTCAGAAGCACAGGTAACAGCCTGGGGCTTGAAACTGGCATCATTTGAAGTGGGGGATAGGGAGCAGTCTTGTGGAACTGAACCCTTAACCTGTAGAATCTGACGCTATCTCCAGGTAGATAGTATCAAAATTGAGTTGAATTCTGTGACACCCTGTTGACATCTGAGGATTGCTTAATGTTGTGGAAGGGGAGGAACCACCATCCCAAAACAGAATTGGGTCCAGGAACCCTCAAAGACCTGACTAACACAAGTGCTTTCAAGATGCAGTAATTTCTTTTTTTTTTT